CAAGGACAAGGATATATAGGCTCCCGGATGTGACACAGCTGGCCTTAGAAAGTTGTGCTATTTTTTTTTTTGAGGCAGGTTCTCACTATGCAGTCCATGCTGGCCTTGAACTCACAGCAATCCTGCCTCAGCCTCCCCAGATTATAGGCATGTACCACCGTGCCCCATTTGAAAATTGTACTCTTAGAGTTCCGTGTCAGGGCTGGAGATTTAGTTTAGTGGCGTAAGCACCTGCCTGGAAGGAATGAGGTCATGAGTTTGATCTCCAGTAGCAAAAAAAGAGAAAGAATAGAGTTCTGTGTCTATGTCCATGATTTTTATTTTTCCCTTAAGTTATAAAAATGATATTTAAGGGGCTGGGGATTTAGCTTAGCGGCATAAGCGCCTGCCTTGCAAGCAGGCAGCCGTGAGTTCGATCCCTGGTACCCATAAAAACAAAAAAAAAAATGATGTTTAAGTGGGTAGTGGTGGTACATGTCTGTAATCTCAGCACAGGGGAGGCTGAGGCAAGAAGATCATTGTGAGTTCAAGGCTAGCCTGCATTACAGGGAAACCCTGTCTCAAAAAAAAAAAAAAAGATATTTATGAAGTGTAATACAGTTGAATGCAATGACACATGTCTGTAATCCCAGAACTCTGGTAGGCTGAGGCAGGACTGCGGGTTTGAGCACAGCCTTTGATTTTGCTTTTTTGTGTGTATGCTGGGGATTGAACCCAAGGCCTTGCCTATGCTAGTCAAGTGCTTCACCACTGAGGTACAGCCCCAGCCCCCTAACACAGCATTTTAGAAATGTACCAAGACCGTGTCTCAAAATAAGAAATTAAAAAGATTGTTGATAGAGTACTGAGGCCCTGGGTTCAATCCCTAGTACTAGAAAACATAAAATCAAACAGTATGGAAATATACACAGTAAAATTGATTTACTCTCTCTACACAACCTGTAGCATCTCTTCTACGCACTTACATGTTTACACTATTTATTAACATCTAATTTTGTGTGTGTGTGGTACCAGGGATTGAACTCATGACCTCATGCTTGTCAGGCAGGTACTTATGCCATTGAGCTAAATCCCTGGCCTCAAATAATTTAGGGGAAAGCTATGGTTGCCCAAGTCTGTAATCACAGTAGGCTGAGCAGGAGGATCAAGAATTCCAGGCCAGCCAGGCATGGCGGTGCATGCCTATGTTCCCAGTATATAGGAGGCTGAGGCAGAAGGATTTCTGTGAAAAAAAAATTTTTTAAAGAGAAAGGTCTTGGGGCTGGGGATTTAGCTCAGCGGCATAAGCTGCTACCTTGCAAGCACACAGTTGTGAGTTCAATCCCTGGTATTGATTTTTTTAAAAGGCCTTTATTTGTTTATTATTTTTGATAACAGGGATCAAACTCACAACCTCACACTTGCCAGGTAGGCACTTATGCCACTGAACTAAATTCTTGGGCCTATATCTCTGTGAATTTGAGGAGACCCTGAGATATACCTGAACTCAAGCTCAACCTGGACTACGCAGCAAGACCCTTCCTCAAACAACAACAAAACAAAACAAAGAGTTCCAGGCCAATGTGGGCAATTTAGCCATACCTGTCCTAAAATAAAAATAAGAAAAGGGAAAAATAAGATAAATAAGAAAAATTTTTAAAAAATAAGATGAGGGCTGGACCCAGGTGTGGTAGTGCATGCCTGTGATCCCGGTGTTGGGGACAACAAACCCACAATGGCTAATTCTGCATATTTCCCTATGGGATAAAATGGAGGTCTGGGATTTTGGTGCCGCCCATCTGAGATTTCTCATTGCCTCTTCTAAAGTCATCTACACCAGGATCATTCCGGGATTATACTGCAGGACAAGATCCTTCTTTTTTTTTTTTTTTTGGTCTTTTTCGTTTTTACCGGTACCAGGGATTGAACTCACGACTGCCTGCTTCCAAGGCAGGCGCTTATGCCACTGAGCTAAATCCCCAGCCCCAACAAGATCCTTCTTAACATATGATCACGTACTCCCTCTTGAGTCTGAGTCCTCCACTGAATTGTAACCCTTTCCTGGCCCCATCTGTCACTGTGTACACCTAGGCTTTGGGAGTAGAGAAGAACCCTTCCAGGGATATTGACTTCCCAGGCCATGGATGCACTACTATACTTGTTTCTGTTTGTTATTTTTCTCTCTATACTTTTAAAACAGATGATCAGGACTCTTGCCCTGGCTCCTGAAACACAGGAATCAGGAGGCTGAGACAGGGGAACTTCTGGGAGTCTGAAGCCAAACTGGACTACATAGTGGGTCCAAGGCAGCCTGAACTCTGTAGTGAGTTTGTGGGGGAAAAGCAGGAGAAGCACAAGATTGTGAGTTCCATCCCCAGTACAAAAAAAAAAAAAAGACAGGTGTGTGTATGTGCAATCTCAGCACTGGGGATGACCAAGGTAGGTTTGCAAATTCAAGGTCAGCCTGGGGAATTTAGCAAGACTTTGACTCAAAGTTAAATGAATTCTGGGTGGCTGAAGTCAAAAGATGGTAAGTTTGAGTCCATAGTGGGCAATTTAGACTTAGCAAGATCCTGTCTCAAAAAAGAAGCAAATATTTGGTTTTTCATTAATAATGTGTGAGGTGGGTTTCTTTTTTTTTTTTTTTTTTACAAGTCTGGGAATTGAACCTAGGGCCTGGAGCAGACTAGACAAACACTCTTCACTCTTGACTTTTTACTTTGTGACAGGTCCTCACTGAGTCACTTCAGCTGGGCTAGAATTTGTGATCCTTCGGCTTCTGCCTCCAGCCTAGCTGGATTACAGGGGAGCAACCCCTCCAGCTCTGCTTTTCCTTAGATCTCATCCTGGGCTGGTGTGGCCCCTTACTGAGGTGGTGGGCTCCAGAGGGCTGCAAGCCTGTCCTGTTTCTCATGGGAACCCTGACTGTGGCGCTGAACACGAGAATCTCCATTCATGCTGAACTGAATTAAACTTAACGCGTTTGTATTTTCTTCAATTATTTCCTTTTCTTTTCTAAATTCTTGCAAAAGTTAATTTGGAAAATGTCAGCCTGTCTCAGCTGTCCTTGGGGAAGGGAGGAAAAGGGCACTTGTTCTTTCAGGGAATGAGAAAAAGCATGTCCCTGGGGCCAGAGATAGTGACAGCTATAAAATGCAAATGAGAGACCACACAGGGAGGGAAAAGCTAGTGGGAAAACTCGGATCAAAGGCAGGGATCATTTGCACCTGGAGATTTCCTCTGGCCCCCTTATGCTCCTGCAAATCTGGAGATTCTTGTATTTCTCAGTAGAAGGCTCTGCTTTATGTGTCCACTCTGTTTGTGAAGGTCCCCTCCTTCCCCTGCTGGGCATGAGGGCAGCTTCCTGACTGGCCCCTGTCTCCAGTGGTACCCGAAGAATCAAGACCTGTGTGTTGGTAAGTGGTAGCCTTGATAGAAGGATGCTATAAGACATCCAAACAACATAAGGGAAGTACACCCCCCAAGCTGCTAGATGTCTGATACACCGAGTTTGTGGTCCCCAAAATCCAAGAATGAATTCTAAGAAATAATGGAGGATAAAAGTGAAAGGATTTTGCCCTGGAGAGGGCGCTGTAGCGGAGGGAGGCGCTGGGAGGCCAAAGGTCACCTTCCCTGCCCCTAAGCAATCTCCCTGTGGTGCGAAATAAATTCCAAAGGGCTACCTGTGCATCAGTAATGCCCCTTAGGCTCCACTGCAAACCTAAGCTATATATATGCCCCACAACACATGTGGGCAGAGAGAAAGCCAGACCCCGGAGGAGGTCATGGAGTTTCTCTCCACATTCTTAAAATAAAGGCCATCTTACTTTATATTCTGTCTTCTAACTGCACCGAAAACTTTCAAAAATTAGGAAATATTTACTGAGGGAAAGACAGCTTCTGTCTAAAAGAGACAGAAGGGGACCCAGAAAGTAGGTCGCTGTGGACTCCATTTACAGGGGAGGTTTATCGAGCAATAATTGTGAGGTGGGTATAAGGTGAGACAAAATTATGATCAACCAAAAAAAATTATGATCAACCAATAGATGACAGTTAGCGTTATGGCTCAGGTAATGTTGATCCAATGGGGAGGCAGGCCACATAGCAACTGTGCGTGGAAAGAACAAGGACCTTTCCTGGAAGGGGTGGGTCAGGTCCTGGACCCCACCCAGGGGACTGATGCCTATTTAGAATATCACTCATTATGGTTTATCCCTGGGGAGATTGGTGTAGTCACTTCATTTGCCTGGAGGTCTGGCCCTCTACTAATGTGTCCAGCCACAGTTTTACGTATCCTCTGTGCTGACTGCCTCAAGGGCCTAGCCCTGTCTGACTGTACATTTCTACCTAACTTGACTGTCTGTAATATTCTCTCCTCTGAAGAGGTAACTCTAACTGCCATGAGGAGCAGAGGCCAATGACTGTTCTGGCTACTTCTGGCTGAACGGGGTTATAGTGGTGCTTAGTAGTCATCTAGAGAGGGTCCATCTCAGGGCTCTCAGTAGATGCCAGGCATTCTCCTCTTGGGTAGGCACACAGTGTTAACTCTGGAGGAGACAAAGCAAAAAAAACCAGTTCGGTATGCATGGGTCAAATAATAACATGATCAAGATTATTATAAATCGGCGAACAAGTTTCTCCTAGGAAGAGTTGGTAAAAGCCTCCCACAAAGAGGGTATGGAAAAGCTCTGAGGAATTTTAGAATGCAGCATGGTTGGGCCTGGGGTACAGCTCAGTGGTGTAATTGCCTGCCTGGCAAGCTCAAGGTCATGAGTTCTATACCCAGTACCAAAAAAAAAAAGATGGTACAGGAGAGATCTGGAATAATCAGTTATTCACCAGGAACAAAAGCTATGAGCCAGCCAGAACCTGAGCTGGAAAGGATTATCAGGTGACTCAGAGGGCAGTGGTGGTGTGTCGTGAGTGTCTAGAGCACTCTGAACTCTGGGCAAGGTAAACACGCACGCCTTGTCGGGACACGGGGGGTACAGCGCTTGGAAAAGAAAGACAGGAGAGACACCTTTGCTGTCTGCACCGCGTTACACTGCACTGCACTGCACTGTACGCACAATCTTTATTTTAGGATTCATATATAGTAAACCCGATCAATTTACAGAGCCCAGATAATTAAGTAGTGAAAAGGCATTCTTTGTGGCAAGCTACAACGTGACAGACTACAATGTTTATTCTAAAACTATCTAAGTGAAGTAAATAATCACAACCAGTTCTCACAACTTTTCTAGCCCAGGAAGAAATTCATTAGCTCAAGAATGTTGTTAATTTGTCTGCTGTTAGTGTCACAAAGGGTGGCCAGCCACTTCCTCAAGACTTCTGCAAAACAAAGCCAGCTCACAGTATGGATTCCAGAGGGTGAGGGCTCACTGAGAACGGGCATTCCCGTTCTACCTCCTTCTCGCATACCAGGGCGGCTATTGTAAATTGCAGGTTAGAGGGGGTTGGGCCTACAAAGTGACACCTCAACCCCCACACTTCCTTCCTTTTTATTTTTTAACAACAATTTCCATAAGATCAGGTTATTAATAGCATTTTGTCTTATGCAGTAAAAATATATAAGAACTATGGCAATGAGAACTATAATTAAACTAAGTCCCATGCCACTAAAAGTGTGGGTAATGCTCTGCCAGATTCCTTTGGAATCTAATCCTTTTAAAGATTGAGCAAGCAATTGCGCGAATTGTGCTAGAGATTTATCATCATTTTGCTTTGCAAAATCCTTGTCAATTTGATTATGCAAAGATTCTATTTCCTCCTGGGCAGAGGTGTTTTCATTTAAATACATTCTAATCATTTTCCATTTATGTTTTGTCTGATTATAAGGTCGTTGGGTTATACAGAAAGTAGTTGAATTCCAATCACATTTTAAAAACACTTGATGCTGAAGAGCCAATATTTTTTTACCCATCTATTTAACTGTTTGTTTAAGGAGGTCTATTTGTTGTTGTAGTCTGGCGTTTATCTGCCACTGAGTTAACCAAAGTTTATGAGAATTCTCATGCCATAATTCGACAACATGTTTTTTTTGTAAAGAGGTTTGTAAAGCTACTCCTGAGACTGCTGCTAGAGAGGCTACAGTTATTAGACTTAACAGTATAGCAACCACTATTCCAATAAATCTTTTTGTACGTTTTAACAGATGTTTAAAAAATTTAGTAGTAACAGAAATTACCGGGTCTTGAGACCAAGGTCGAGTTAAATTTACAGGCAACCAAATATGAGTTTTTTGTTGTAACAGCATAACTGTATAAGGCTTAGTGAAATTTAGTGTGTTATTTAAGCATGTAAACAATTGACAATTTAAACAAGTACAAGAAAAATGTGTAAAATTAAAAGTTCCCACTAAAAAGACATAAGGCAGAGGTGCACAAACAGTAATATTATATATTTTAAACCTAGTAAAATTATAAGTAGTAGATACAGATCGACTAGTCCCTGAATATGAAACATTGTACAAGGTTACAGGTTGCATAGCGGCTGGGATCTTCCAAATATGATTTTGAAGGTGATGAGGGTATTCTTCGGCTGCAACAGCAGGGTTAGCGATTCCACCATCTCCCCACCACAAGAGAGCCGTCTTTTGTTGAAATATAGGAGCTCCGTCAGTTATTTTCTTTGGATCTGGAAGACTATACACAACAGAGAGATTACATCTTGTCTCATTCCATTTAGCACATCTATTAACGAATTTTCCAAATGGTCCCCAAATAATATACCCATCAATATTTTTAGCAAATTTTCCCATACATAGTTGCCAAATTATGGGATTATAAGAAATATTTTTATAAGTAAATTCAGGGCATACAGGAAATGTATTTGTATCAGGTGCTGTTAAATTTTTCCAGGTAACATTAAAGGTTTGAGCAGCCAAGGCTTGAAGCCTTGTCTTTTTGTTGCCTGCTTTTATTCTATGTTGAATCCAATACTGCCATCCCAGAGGGATGCAAGGCGGTTCCCCAATGCAAATAGGCCTTTGATTACCATAATAAGTAAAATTGAATAGTGTCCCATCATCTTGATTGTGGGGGGTTAAATCAGCCCACGGTGCTGACAAAATTTCTCTAGGTGTGGTATAAAGTAAAATATCACTAGTTCCCCATTTTACAGGTTCTAATAAAGGGGGGTTTGGAATATATGCCCAGTACGAATGCGGAGGTACCTCAGTCCCCGATGTAACGGTGAGCAAGGCACATAAAGCTAAAAACAAGTTTTTAGGGTTTAAAGGCTTTCCTGCTTGAAGGACAAGCCGTTGCCCTTCTATGGTCAATTTCTTTAATTGTCCCCATGTAGGGAGGGGATTTAAATTTGGTCGCTGTGAGCGGCGGGATTTTCTTAGCTGTAATCTGGCCATGGCTGCGATAGGAACAAACTCAGCATCCTCAGCTTCTAGCTGGTTTCGCGCTCGCTTCTGAAGGCACGGTTCCGGTTCCTTGGGGAGTTGTCTCCGGGGCTGGTGAACAGGATCTGGAGACGCGGGTCCTGATCCATCGTCCAGGGACCCACTGCTGAATTCCATTTTCTGTGGAGATATAACCAAAACCTTTCCCCCTATAGAGCAATGTGCCCCTCTCCCATTCAGCCTCTGGAGCTGTTTTAGTTCAAATAGGTTCATTAATCACAAAAGGCTGTTGTTGCTGTTCAAAATGTTTTTCAGCTCTTGTTAATATTTCACCTTGTGGTAAATTGAGAAAATTTAAAATAAACAATGCTTGATGCAGTAATGTTTTTGGACTGTTTTGCAATTTAAACAGTATTGGTATCTGAATATCCTCCTGACTCCTCCTTTTTAATTTTTTAATTTGCAATTTAAGAGTGCCATGTGCTCTTTTAACAATAGCTTGACCCTGGGGGTTATATTTAATCCCTGTAATATGAATAATATTATGGAGATCACAAAATTGTTTAAATGTTCTGCTAGTATAAGCAGGTCCATTATCTGTTTTGATTTTAGAAGGAATTCCCATAACTGTAAAAGTCTCCAATAAATGTACAATAACATTTTTAGTGGATTCTCCCTGTTGAGCAGTAGCCCATAGAAATGAAGAATAGGTATCAATAACTACATGTACATAAGAAAGCCGACCAAAAGAAGGTACATGTGTAATATCCATTTGCCATAATTTATTAGGTTGAGTTCCTCGAGGGTTGACACCTGCGGGAATAATTTTTAAATGTAATGGTCTACAAATAGGGCAGGCTTTTACAATTTGTTTAGCTTTTGTAAAAGGTATCTTATATTTAAGATGCAAATGTCCTGTATTTGCATGATTAAATTGATGTTCTTTAACGGGTGTGGTGAACATAACTAAGGAATCCACTGCATTGTTACCTGATATTAATGGTCTGGGTAACTGAGAATGAGAACGTAAATGAGTAATAAAATAAGAATGATTTTTTTTTTGAACATGTATTTGTAAATTTTGAAATAAAGACAATAAAGCAGGCTTATTAGAATATAACACAGCTGAATAGATATTTGTCACTACTCCAACAGAATAGGCCGAATCGGCTATAATATTAATAGGTTGGTTATGAAAATCTAAAAACACTTGTAATATAGCAAAAAGTTTATTTTGTTGTACAGAGTTAAAATTTGTCTGACGTACCCAGTAAGATTTTTGAGTCCAATATGCAGCTTTATTTTTAGATCCATCTGTAAATATAGTCAAAGCTTGTGGAATTGGCTGTACAGCTAATAAGGTATTAACCACAAATTGTTGACGTCTAAAAAAATCCCATAATTTACTTTTAGGAAAATGATATGAAAAAGTTCCCATGAAATCTGCTAAAGCAATTTGTAAGGTTTTAGTAATTGACAACAAATATTCCCATTGTTCCTTAGTTAAAGGGATAACTATATTGTTTATATCTTCTCCTATCAAAGTTATAGAACGAGCTCTACCATTCATAATTAAAGCTGCAACCATGTCAATATAAGGCATAACATTTTTAGATTGCTTAGTTTTAGTGAATACCCATTCTACTGGCATAGCATTTTGACCTAAAACTGCAGAGGGATATTGAAAAGTATTAATAATATATAAAGTTAGAGGCAATTTAGGATCAATCCTAATTAAAAATGTATCCTTAATTCGTTGTTCTACAAACTGTAATTCTTGCTCGGCTTTTGTTGTTAAAGAACGAGGGCTGGATGGATCTGAAGAGCCCTGTAGAGTAGCAAACAAATGCTGTAATGCATGGGTAGGAATACCTAGTGTGGGACGAAGCCAATTAATATCCCCTAATAATTTTTGAAAATCATTTAAAGTGGATAACTTATCTCTCCTAATAGACATTTTTTGTGGAATCACCTTTTGTCTAGTAAGAATATATCCCAAATAATGACTAACTTCTTTTTTTTTGAATTTTATCCTGTGCTATTACCAATTAAAACATTTTAAAGACTGTTTCTTTTTAGAATGCCAATTAGTCCACGTGGTTGTCATGGTCTCAGCAAACAGTTGCATTTTCTTAGATTCTGAATTTAAATCTTTACATTGTTTTATAAAATTGTCAATCGTTCCAGTATCTTTTATTGGAATTAAAGCCCTTTTGCATTCATCATTAGTATTTTCAAAAGCTAACATTTTTAAGAGATGCTCTTGTAAGTCTTGTCCCACTACTGTTTTTTCTATAACATTTTGAAGTCTTGCAACGAACTCAACATACGGTTCATTGGCTCCTTGCAGAACTTTAGCCCAAGATCCATATTCTGATCCTTTAGGCCGTATTTTATCCCAAGCTTTTAAAGCAATATCTTTTAATTGAGCATGAATCTCTCTTGGAGCTCCTGCCTGATGCTCAACAGTATCAAAGAAACCTGTACCAGAGAGCATGGGATAAGAAAGGAGTCTAATATTCGGATCTCGATCGTCAGCATTTTGTCTTGCCTTTTCCGCACAACCTTCCATAAACCACATGTGCCACTGTAAATATTTTGGCTCCTTTAAAAGAATTTTGGCCAAGGCTTTCCAATCATAAGGAGCAAGATTACCATACTGATCTGCTACTGATGTTATTAATTCTCTAGTGTAATGAGCCTGAGGGCCATAAAGGGTTACAGCCTTTTTTAATTTTGCTAAATCATCCATATTAAATGCTTCCCATCTAGGGGGAACTGCCTCTCCATCTATTGGCTGAGGCCTGATTACAGGGAAAGCAAAGGCAGGCTTTTCCTCATCAGAATCCCCTAATTTTGGTAAATCAGCCAAAGCTAGCTTGGCTTTACTCCAATTAGGGTTAGATGGAGGAGGTGCAGAGGGAACTACAGGCGGGTTCTGCTTAACGGAGAGTTGTTTCACCTCTTGTGTTAAATGCTGTATAGCCTGTAAAATTGGGCGATTGTCATAATTTGATATTGCTGCGGCAGCTAAAGCTGAGTCGGCTGTAGCGGATTTTACTTTTGGTTTGGACGCCTTTTCACTACTTAAAGCGATAGCGTCATTTTGAACTACATTCTGCTCCTCCTCTGTGAGGGGCAATTCCTGAATAACTGGCTTAATTTCTAGTTGAAGATTTTCTACAATATGTTCATCTTCCATAGCTTTTAATAAAGAGTACACAACCGACCAAATAGCCCAAAAACGTAAAGGAATCTTTTCCTCCTGTTGCATAGCCCTTTCTATACTAACCCTTGCCTTCCTCCATACTTCTACATCCAAAGTTCCTTCATCTGGAAACCAAGGATTATATTCTTTAATTGTATCAATACACATATCCAAGTCAGCTGACCTGAGCGATATGCCATATATAGATAATAAATGTTTAAGAATTTTTAAGAAAGGAGAGGAAGCAGATTGTCCCATTTCCCCGTAATAAAATTATACTTACCTTCCTAAGCGACCTTCGGAGTCCCTGTTCGGGCGCCACTTGTCGTGAGTGTCTAGAGCACTCTGAACTCTGGGCAAGGTAAACACGCACGCCTTGTCGGGACACGGGGGGTACAGCGCTTGGAAAAGAAAGACAGGAGAGACACCTTTGCTGTCTGCACCGCGTTACACTGCACTGCACTGCACTGTACGCACAATCTTTATTTTAGGATTCATATATAGTAAACCCGATCAATTTACAGAGCCCAGATAATTAAGTAGTGAAAAGGCATTCTTTGTGGCAAGCTACAACGTGACAGACTACAATGTTTATTCTAAAACTATCTAAGTGAAGTAAATAATCACAACCAGTTCTCACAACTTTTCTAGCCCAGGAAGAAATTCATTAGCTCAAGAATGTTGTTAATTTGTCTGCTGTTAGTGTCACAAAGGGTGGCCAGCCACTTCCTCAAGACTTCTGCAAAACAAAGCCAGCTCACAGTATGGATTCCAGAGGGTGAGGGCTCACTGAGAACGGGCATTCCCGTTCTACCTCCTTCTCGCATACCAGGGCGGCTATTGTAAATTGCAGGTTAGAGAGGGTTGGGCCTACAAAGTGACACCTCAACCCCCACAGTGGTGGTCTTATTCTGAGAAGGATCTTGCCTTGGAGCATCTTTAGTCTTAGCAGTCTTGGTCTTGGTCTTAGCTGGTGGGAGAGGAAGGCACATCCCTAATGGGATAATGGGAAATTTCAAAAGGATGATACCCAGTCAGGCGTAGTGGCTCACGCCTATAATCCCAGCACTCAGGAGGCTGAGGCAGGAGGATTGTTGAGAGTTCCAGACCAGCCTGGGCTACAAAGTGAGCTCAAGGCCAGCCTGAACTGCATAGTAAGACCCCGTCTCAAAAAAAGACCAAAAAATAAGGATGATACCAAAAATTCCAAACCTCCATTCATCCCTTAGGGTCATATGCAAAACCAGCCACTGTGAGTTTGTGCTCCCAACAATGTTGAAGATTTCTTCATATATTTATTTTTGCCACTTCTACTTCTTCAAGTGAGAAGTATGTATTCGTCTCAGATGCCCATTTTTGTATTGGGTCTTTAAAAGTGGTTTTTTGTTGTGGTTGTTTTGTTTTTTTGAGTTATTTATATATTCTAAATATTAGACCTTTGAGCAACACTGGCAAAAATTTATCCCCACACTGTTGGTTAATCTTCATCTGTTGGGGTGTTTTCCATAGAGAAGTTTTTTTTTTTTTTTTTTTTTTTTTTTTTTGTACTGGGGTTGGAACTCATGACCTCATGCTTGCCAGGCAGGCACTTACGCCACTGAGCTAAATCCTGATACTGCACAAGATTTTAATGAGCTCCTAGTTGTTGATTCTCTGTGATAGTTCTGTGCAGTTGGGTTTTCTTCCTGAAGTATTTGCCTATACCAATGTCTTCCAGTGTTCTACCTATTCTGTGTTTCAGCAGATTTGGTGTTTCTGTTTTAATATTTAGATCTTTGCTCCATTTCAATTTTTGTTTAGTGTATGATGAAAGATATGGATGTAACTTTAAGGTTCAGTGTGTGGAAAGCCAGTTTTCCAGCACCATTTATTAAAGAGTCTATGTTTTCTTCCAATGAAGGTGTCTGGCTCCGTTGTGAATGATAAGACACCTGCCTGTGTTTGCAGTTGTGTCTGCATCTTCTAGTCTGTTCTATTGATCCTGATGTCTTTTTTTTTTTTTTTTTTTTCCAGTAACATACTTTTTTCATTTGTTTGTTTTGGTACTGGGGCTTGAACTCACAACCTTGCCCTTACCAGGCAGGCACTTTGCCACTGAGCTATATCCCTGGTTCCACCATGTTTTTATCACAGTAGTTTTATCACAGTAAGGGATTGTGATGCTCTCTGCTTTGTCCTTATTGACCAGAATTGCCTTTGCTATTGTAGGTCTCTGGTTCCAAATACATTTCAGGATTGTTTTCTGTAATTCTGTGAAATGTGCTGTTGGAATTTTGTTTGGAAATATAATAAATTAAATCTGTATAACAATTTAAGAAGTGTGGCCATTTTCACTATATTGGTTCTTTCTACTCAAGAACAAAGCATATCATTCCATTGTCTGATACCCAATTCCATCTCCTTTTTCAGAGTACTGTTGTTTTTAATGTAAAGGTTTTTATTTCATTTGTTAGATTGATTCCTAAGTTTTTTGTTTTTGCTTTTTGAGAGAGGGTCTCACTATGCAGTTCAGGATGGTGTGGAGTTCACTTTGTAGCCCAGGCTGGTCTTGAACTCACAACAATCCTCCTGCCTCAGCCTTCTGAGTGCTGGGATTACAGGCATGACCTCCCATGCCTTTTTGGTTCTGGGAAATCAGGACTTCATATTTGCCAGGCAGAAGCTGAGCCACTGAGCTAACCCCTGGCAAGCAGTAACATCTTAGCTTTCTTATCTAAAGTCTTTGTTTTCTTTTTGGACAATAATTTTAAGTTTTTTATGGGTTCATAGGAGTATTTGGTTGTTTGCTTACACTGGGAACTCAAGTTCTCAGGGCTTGAGTTGAGTGTGGTGTATTCAGGAGTTCAGGCCTGTGACCTTGACAGCTGATAGAGTTGAGGTATATGGTCCTTTCCATGTTGGTCCTAGGGAAAGAGATGATAAAGGAAGAGACTTTACCAGTACTAAATCTCTGGGGTGGAATATTGAATTTTCCTTTTCTTTAGGCTAAGCTGTTGAAGAGTCTGTTTCAATTTAGCCAGTGAAGTGACATTTTTTTGAGACGGGGTCTTGCTATGCAGTACAGCTGACCGTGGGCTTACTTGCAGCCCATAAGAGTCTCGAACTTTCAATGATTCTCCTGCCTCAGCCTCCTGAGAGCTGGGATTATAGGAGTGTGCCACCATGCCCGGCTGAGATAACATCTTTTTGTAAGGCATCTGTTTCTCTATTGAAGAGAAAAATATTAGTGAGAAAAGTACAGCCACAAAACATTTCAAATGGACTGAGGCCTGGAATTTGAAGTGAATTTCATACTTTGATATGAACTATAGGTAGTGGTGAGGTCACTATAGATGGATGTCCTGGGCCATTTTGCAAAGATGTCGCTTGAAGGTCTCACTCATTTCTACCTTTCCTAATGACTGTGGGCTCCATACACAATGGATGTGACAGAGAATGCCCATTGCCTGAGAAACACTCTGTGTGACTGTTGTGTTAAAGGAAGGCCCAGGGGTAGGGAAATGGCTCAGCAGCACAGTACCCGCCTGCCAAGTGGGAGGTGGGAGTTCAATCCCCGGGACCAAAAACTTAAAAAAAAAAAAAGTAGGTTTTTAGGAAGCCCAAATCTGGGGACGATTTCTGAGACCAAAACCTTTACCACCTCTTACACCTTTCCTGCTCTTTAAGGGAAGGCCTCAATCCAGTATGTGTAGGTGTTTACACAGACCAATTACTACTGAAGTCCCTTACTGATGGCAGATGAGTAAAATCAAGCTGCCGATCTTCACCAGGACATTGATGTCTCTGTATACCCAGAGGAGCTCTTGTCCAGTTAAGAGGAGCGTTCTTTCAGCAGAACTCACTATATCTTTTTTTTTTTTTTTTTTTTTTTTTTGTCTTTTTCATTTTTATTGGTACCAGGGATCAAACTCACGACCACCTGCTTACAAGGCAGGTGCTTATGCCGCTAAGCTAAATCCCCAGCCCCTAACTCACTATATCTTAATTCTCTGTTGTACTGTCTGAGAAATTCCTTCCCTATAAATAACTTTGAGGCCATCTGGTAAGTCTTGTCTCTCCTCAAGTGAAAGATTTGATGTAAAGACTTAATAATTCTCCACAGACTAACACTAGAAAGGAACAGCTTATTATCATCTGATTATAACCATCCTAATGGAAGGAACTAACACCCTTGGAGAGCGCCCATTTGATTTCTGACTGAGAATATTTGCGCTGAGTATGATCAAGGGATACTTCCCAAATCTGGGAGTTCTGCCTGGGGAATCCTCGAGCAGCATTTTTTGCTGCTGTGTCAGCTAATTGATTACCCTGAGATACACTGTCAACTCTTTGGGGTCCTCGACAGTGAATAAACTTTGGAGGGCATATAGACAGATGATAAAAGTTCATCTGTCTCCTTTTGATAGTTTATGAGAGATTCATTGGCTGTCAGAAAATTCTTTCTCCATGGCTACATGGGTATGCAATACTAGGAAAGAACACTTGGAATCAATGTATATGTTGTTATTTTTCCTTCAATGAGTTGTAAAACCCTTGTCAGAGCTGTGAGCTCTTCTAGGTTAGTGCTAGTCCCGGGGCAAGTGAGGAACTTTTTTTTTTTTCTTTTTTATCAGTACGAGGGATCGAATGTAAGACCACCTGCTTGCAAGGCAGGTGCTTATGCCACTGAGCTAAATCCCCAGCCCCAAGTGAGGAACTTTTTAATGTCTGATGTAGAGCCACCATTGCATACCCTTTTTTTTTGTTTCTTTTCTTGTGCTGGGGATCAAACTCAGAAGCTTACACTTGCCAGGGAAGCACTTGTGCCACTGAGCTAAATCCCCAGCTTGCTTGCTTGCTTCTGGTTGTTTTGAGACAGGGTCTCACTATGTAATGCAAGCTAGCCTTGGACTCACTTCTGTAGCCCAGACTGACCTGAAACTCACAGTGATTCTCCTGCCTCAGCCTCCTGAGTATAATGGTTACAGGTGTTTGCCACTACACCATCTTACCCAGTCTTTTTTGCCCCATTTTCCAGGAAGGAACTGCCATCACTGGAAGGTTAAATTGAGGCCAGGTGCCAGACGTGGTGATGTGGTACCTGATGCCCAGAATCAAGGAAGGAAAAGTTTATTTAGCTCATAGTTTATGGAGGTCTTAGTCCATAATCAGCTGGCTCCAAAGCAGGGTAGCATGGTACAGGGACAACTTTATGGCAATGGTAGATACCAAATGCAGCAAGAGCAAACAGGGAGGAGCAAAGAGAGGTGCAAGCCTCTTTCCCTCTCTATTATTGTACGCAGGTTACCCGCACTCATGGTGCCAGTCCCAGCACTAGCAAATGAACCCATTACAAACTCTAGATTCAGCCACCTTTGAAAGACTGACTGTCTGTGACCGCATGAGGCTTTGGGGGGTCATCCAGACAGAAAGCATAACACCAGTACTCAGGAGGCGGAGGTAAGAGGATTGCTGCGAATTTGAGATCAACCTGGGCTCTGTAAGTGAGTCCAAGACAAATGTGAACTACATAGCAAGACCTTGTGTCAAAAATAAACAAGTAAATAAATAAAATTAGGGTCAGGAAAGCATGTGTCTAATAAGTCTTCTTTGGCTGCATGTATATAGAGAGAATTACCTGTTCACAGTCATGTCTTACAGCCTCAATTTCCTCCTTTTTCTGATAGAAAGATGGCAGGGTTTAAGGAGGAACACATTTTTATTTGAATGGCTGGTCATTCTAGAAGTAGAGCCTCATAGGCTGTCTTTGGAAGAAAAAAGTTTTGCGACACATGAGGTGTATAAACAGTGAGATCTTTGCCTAAAGTCAGCTTAGATGCCTGTACTACCAGGAGAGCCACTGTGGCCACAGCCCTAAAGTACGCGGGTCATCCCTTTGCAACAATGTCTAATTTATAATTAAGATATCCTAGAGGCTATTTAGCAGGTCCCTAATCCAGGTAAGCACTCTTTTTTTTGTGTGTGCCGGGGATCGAACTCATGACCTAGTGCTTGGCAGGCAGGCGCTTATGCAGCTGAGCTAAATCCCTGACCCATATAAGCGCTCTTAAAGCCATCCTGCCAAAAAGTGCTGGAATTACAGGAGTGTACCACCACACCTGGCTTTTGGGGGGAGGGGGTGTCTTTTTTGGTTTTTGTTTTTATTTTTATTTTTACTTTTTGGTACCGGGGATCAAACTCACAACCTCGAATTTATCAGGCAAGCACTTGAGCCACTAACCTAAATCCCCAGAGCGACATACAGATTAAAATGGTGTCCTTTTGGTAGCCTCAGTGTTTAAGCATTTTAGAAATGCTTATTTAGGGGCTGGGGATTTAGCTCAGAGGCATAAACGCCTGCCTTGGAAGCAGGCAGTCATGAGTTTGATCCCTGGTACAGAAAGAAATGCTTATGGTGGCATAGGCCTGTAATCCCAGAATTCAGGGTGGTGGAGTGTGGGGGCAAGAGGATCATTGAGAATTTGAGACCAGCTTGAGCTCCCAAGGCCAGCCTGAACTACATAGTGAGACCTTGCCTCCCACCCCAATAAGACAAAAAAAAAGAGAAGTATTTATTTAAGCTTCTGGAATGCAGTTTGGAAATCACGCTTCCAGACAAAATATGGGTATCTGCCTTTTAGGCTTCCTTTATAAACTTATAGAGGAGTCATGCAATTTTATCATAGCCTACTATCCAAAGGTTACAAAAGCCTAGGAATTTTCTTAGCTGTTTTAGAGTCTTGGGCTGCTGGAAGGAAAGATTTAATTCTCTCTTCTTCCAGCCTTCGGGTTCCCTTAGATATGATAAGGCCCAGGTATTCTACCTTGCAGTTGCAAAGTTGTGTCTTCAACCTAGAAACCTTATAACCTCTGTCTGCTAGAAAATTTGGGAGAGCATGGGTGCCTTGGCTGGAGACTTTTTTTTTTTGTCTTTTTGAGACAGGGTCTCGCTATGCAGTTCAGGCTGGCCTTGAGCTCACTCTGTAGCCCAGGCTAGTCTCGAACTCTCAA